GTGGCTCCGTGGCCCCCCACCCGGACCCCCTACCCTGTGTCCCCAAAGTGTCCGGCGGGTGCGCGCCCGCTCCCCGATGCCACGCCGTTTTGCTGCGGAAAGGTTTTATTTAGCAAGACCTGCTCCCATCTCCCATGGGCCCGAATCCCTTCCTTTACGTTTGCCCGTCTGCTTCGGTGCCGCAATCCCAGGGACGTTGCAAGGCCGGCGTTGCCTTGAGTGCCCAGCCGGTCTCTGCGGTCCAGGAGGCTCGTGGGATGCGGGGAGGGACGTGCTGGCAAACGGCTCCCTGCAGGCAGAGCCCGTCCCCGTGCTCTGCCCCCGGGGCTGGGTTGGGCTTCCCCAGGGAGCGTTTTGCCGTCCCCCCAACGCGCGCGTGTCTGTCCCAGCTTCCACTGCCACGTGTACCCCTACCCCGAGAGCGAGGCCAGCCGCACGGAGACCCTGACGGGGCTGCTCAGCCAGATCCAGGACCTCAGCGTGGTGAGCTGGACGCCGCAGGGATGGAGGGGGACATGCGGCGAGCTGGGCGGATGAGCACCTGGACCCCCTTCGTCCCTGACCCGACCTGCTGGTGCCCGTAGGTGCTGGAGGAGACGGAGCAGTACTTGGCGCAGGTGCTGGACAAGGTGGTGCTGGTGCTGCCCACGTGGCGGGTGCGGGTGCAGAAGATGAAGGCGGTCTACCTCGTCCTCAACCAGTGCAGCTTCGATGTCACCGAGAAGTGCCTCATCGCTGAGGTCTGGTGCCCCGTGCGTGACCTCACGCAGGTGCAGGACGCCCTGCGCCAGGGGTCGGTAGGTGCCCTATGTCCTCCGTGCCAGGGTTGGCTGAGGTGCACCTCATGCTCAGGGAGAGATGTACCCCCCGCATCTTGTGCCCACGCTGGGACATGAACCCCACTTCTTGTGCCTAGGGTGATATGTGCCCCCTCTGCCAGGGATTGGCACCCCCTCTGGTGTCCTGTCTGCCTGTGCGCCTGCCCCCTAAGCTCGAGCCCCCCTAGCCCAAGCCCTGTGCCATGGCACATGCTCTGTGCGGAGCTTGCAAATCCCTCTGGCCTGCAGCAGGATGAGACCCACTCTGGGATGTCCCACACTGCGTGGGTGCAAGGGCAGCAGGGCACAGTGGGTCATATGCTGGGTGCCGTCCCTGCAGTACAAGAGCGGCTCAAGCGTGGAGTGCTTCGTGCAGCGCATCCCCACCTCGGAGAGCCCCCCGACGCTCATCCGCACCAACAAGTTCACCGCCGGCTTCCAAAGCATCGTGGATGCCTATGGGGTGGCCAGCTACCAGGAGGTGAACCCTGGTAAGGACCCCCGCCCCGAGCAGGAGTGAGGGGGCTATGGGCTTTGCAGGAGCAGTGCCCGGGCAGCGGGAGGGCTCCAGCAGGGTCCTGGGTGACGTGGTCCCTGTGCCCCACAGCACCCTATGCCATCATCACGTTCCCCTTCATCTTCGCCATCATGTTTGGGGACGTGGGCCACGGGCTGCTCATGTTCCTCTTTGCTCTCTGGATGGTGCTGTACGAGAATAGCCCCAGCTTGCGGCAGGCCAGCAACGAGGTGAACAGGGCCCGCAGGGGTTAGTGGTGTGGGAGGGGGCTGGTGGCATGGGGCAGATTTGGTGTGGGATGGGGTTGGTGGGGTGGGGCAGGTTTGGATGGCACAGGGTGGGTGGTGTGGGATGGGGTGGATGTGTGGTAGGGTTGGTGGGGCGAGACAGGGTGGCTGGGGCAGCATGGGGCAGGTTTGGTGGTGTGGGACAGGACTTGTGTGCGGGGCAGGGGCGGGGAGTCATATGGGCAGGTTGTGGGACAGTGTGGGAGCCACGTTTGCTACCCCCAGATCTGGCTGACGTTCTTTGAAGGGCGCTACCTCATCCTGCTCATGGGGGCCTTCTCCATCTATACTGGCTTCATCTACAACGAGTGCTTCAGCAAAGCCACCGTCATATTCCCCTCGGCCTGGAGCGTGGCTGCCATGGCCAGCCACTCCTCCTGGAGGTGAGACCCCCCCCACCACACCCCCCCCCGCCACCCACCCCCA